GCGTTGCTATGAGACCTGGTCTACTTCCTGTTTTGTGGTTTCCTGTCTACTCTTACAGCCTTATACATGTCTCCTACACTCTTTACGGCAAATGAAATGGTTAACACAAGTAAATCATAAAGCATATGATACTATTACAATTCATACGAAAATAAACATGTAGACATATTTGCTAATGCAGATTATAATGTCAATCCTAGAATTTCATATGTTGATAAATGTTGATGATCTGAAGCCAAGACAATCAGATCTTACACCCACACACTATTCTCGTGCAGACAGTTTAGTCATCTCAGTATGTATCTGCAAGACGTCCTGTTGCTCTGAGCCTCTGCACCTACTCACAAGCATTTCATGAGCACAGGTCAAGTCTTTCCAAAGGTCAAACAGATTAAACAGTTATTTGAACAGTTTTGTAAATACATAACATAGCACTGTATCCTTTTATCAAGAATTTCTTTCTACAGCGCACATAAAATAGGACAGTGCAGTGTTAACATAAAAGTTTGTAGCTCAAAGCTGGAATAGTCTTTAGAGGGGAGAGGATGACATTTTAGGGTCGGCTTAAAAACAGCTGCCAGACTACCACCTCTACCAGCCAAGCGGGGAGTATTAAAAAGTATATTGTTGAATATATTGTTATCAGCCCCAATCCAGCCGCAGTGTTATCCAGCTTAGGTGCCTCTGCCCCCTCACCTACACACATGGTGAGAAACCTTGGAGTGATATTTGATCACAGCTTTACTTTCGATAAGCAGATTAGGGCCGTGGTCAAGACCAGTTTTTTCCACCTGAAACTTTTAACGAAGGTGAAGCCTTTCTTATCGCGTGGAGACTTAGAGAAAACTGTCCACACTTTTATTACCTAATGATTAGACTATTGCAATGCCCTGTACGTTGGTGTTTCTCAGTCTGTGCTGCGGAAACTTCAAGTAGTTCAAAACGCGGCTGCTCGGCTGTCGTCGAACACTCCCAGGTATGCACGCATTACCCCTGTTCTTTTTTCACTACATTTGGTTGCCAGTACAATGGAGAGTTGATTTTAAGCTGCTGCTATTTCTTTAAAGCCATACATGGCCTCGCCCCACGTTACCTGTTGGAGCTGCTATCTCTCTATGCTCCGTGCCAAATCCTGTGCTCCGCTGGGTACTTGTCCTTAGTTGTTCCGCAGGCCCGATCTAAAAAAAGGGGCTCGTTTGCTGTCTATGGTCCTAGACTCTGGAATTCATTACCACCTGAGATTCGGTCTATAACCAAGCTAGCGGTTTTTAAGTCTACTTCAAAAACTCACTTTTTTAAACAGGCTTTTGGTGTTTAATCCATTAATTTTGCCCCAAAGGGACATGGTTTAACTTGTTGTTCTATACTATTTTATTTTGATGAAACTTTTTATTGCTAGGATTTTATAAACCTGTGTTTTTGGATTGATTGTTTTTAGTATTTTTTAGTTGATACATATGTTCTACTGTGCAGCGCTTTATGCTCTTTGGAGTTGTAAAGTGCTATATAAATAAAGTTTATTACTATTATTATTATTATTCCTTTTTAAGAGATGTTAGATGCTAGATGCTTTGAATAGCTGGCGGCCAACACCCTCTTGAGAGTAGCACATGCACTTCTGGAAGCACAGAAGGTCAGTGCCTTGGTGGCTGTTACACAACCACTTTCTTTAACTCACACTATATCCCTTTCTAATGTGTTTTACTTCACATTACATATTATACCTGTACCTTTCTGCAGGTAGCCCTGCCTCTGGAGCTCTACGTTTTTGATGATCACATCAGCTTGCCCAGCGTTTGATTGTTTGTTGTGTCTTGTTGCTTTTCTTTTCCTATCTCTCTCCTCTATCCACTCACCCCAACAGGTCGAGGCAGAAGGCCGTGCACCAAGAGCCAGGGTCTGTTAGAGGTTTCTTCCATTAAAGGGAGTTTTTCCTCCCAGCTGTTGCCAAGTGCTGCTCGTGGGGGATTTGCTGGGTTTTTTCTTTTATAATAATATTTGTAGTAAGGTCTAGACCTTACTTTGTAAAGTGTCTTGAGTCAACTTTTGTTGTGACATGATGTGATATATATAAAATCAAATTGAATTCATGCCTTTTGTGCTGTGGTGATGTTTACTGGACATAATATTTTCTAAGTTGATCTCACTTTTGTCCTTGGCAAACTTACTGTAAAGTGACTCAGTGTCTTTTCCTTAAAACGAAGATGCTCAAACACTCCTCCGCACATTAAAGTGCACATTATTTATTTTCCATACATCCCACAAGAGCAAAGCACAAATATCTGGGCCCTGTGCGTATTCAGCCTCAGTGGTCCCCTTCCCCTTTTCATACATTGTTTAGATGATATACAACTTCACTCTAACAGAGAGACATAACTAGAAACAAGGAGAGGGAGATGGGGTCATGGTTATCATTTTAAGGTATATATTTTATAGGCTGTACAATAAGAAAGGATTACTGTAACTGAACAAGATTTCACTGTCATGTCTGACAGTGCATGTAGTTGAGTTCATGGTTGATGTCTTATTCAAATATTTATTTACTGCTGCAAATAGTTTCTTATTAAAACATCTTTAACAGTTGGCTGTCCCCATGGTCAGTTGCTGTTTTTCTTTGTTTCTTGGTAACCCTAGTACAGTTTTTTGAAAGACATGATTACCAGAAAGATTATTTGAGTACTTCCAACTACTTATGTTAATTTTTAACCCTCTGTCTGCTGTGATGGGGAATAATTATAAAATATGCAAGGAGCTAATTACTTAACATTTCCAGTAAGTTCATACTTTTGGTACCACCACAAGAATTTAGCTTGCGACTGCAGAAAACCTTTTTACTTTTTAAATAGCACATTGCATGTGGAGCACAAACCACAGATTCAAATATTACATTTGCATTATGACTAAAGTTTCTTTAGATGATATTTTTGTGCTTTTTCCACTTTGTGTTCCTGAATCCTGTTATTATTATTTCAACACAAGACACTGTCTCTGCATGTCTGTAAACCCACAAACCGCAGACACATTTTCTGGCATCTCTATAAATTTCTTTCCCCATTCAGCCTCCAGATGTCCCTGGACTTTTCCACTGTCCCCTGACTCTGTTCCTCTCACCTGCATATCTGTTTCCTATCAGCCTCAGGGTACTGATACCGGCTTGATTCCTCCAGTCCTCTGCTAGATTATTTATCATGTTTCAGTAGCAATAGTGTTTCTAGCCACACTTGCTGCAAACAATTGCAATCATGATAGCAAAATCTTCAGTGGACATGGAGCCATTACAAATTATTTGTAGTCATGTTTCTGTCCATGTGGGGAAAGTTTGTCCAATGATCGCATTGAAAGTAGATGGTTTTCTGCATTTACTGCTCATAAAATGTGACCAAATCTTCATCAATGTCACAGGTGTGCTTAAATACAATGTGCTTAACCCTCATATTTTGTTGAAATTCACTTCATATTTACCCCAGTGATTTAAGAGTGATAGTAATCATCACAATTTTTGCATTAAAAAATCTTTTAAACCTTATATTTTTTTCAGCCAGCCAGTCTCAGTTCAGGAGGCAGACATCCTCTCTACCTTTATGATTAAACTTAAGACTTTCCTTTTTGATAAAGCTGTTAGGCTGGCTCAGGTGACCCTGAGCTTTCCTTTAGTTTTGCTGCTCTAGGCCTAGACTGCCACCCAAACATGATGCTCTGAGCTCTTCTCCTCTTCTCACTCACAATGCATTTATATGCCACCATAGTGTGTCCTCTCTCTCCCTGCACATTTCCTCAGGTAGCTCTGGCTCTGTATGTTTCTGATGAGCAGTCACCGGGCACATCAACCTGCCCATTGTTCAATTGTTTGTTCTGTCCTGATGCTTTTCTTTTCTCTCTCCTCTTTCCACTCACCCCATCCAGTCGACACAGAAGGCTGCCCACTGAGAACCCAGGTCTGTTGCAGGTTTCTTACATTACCAAGCCTTTTCTCTCCAGTCTCACCAAGTGTTTTGTTTCTCTCCTATAATAATGTAAGATCTAGATCTTACTATGTAAAGTGCCTTGAGATGATTTTTGTTGTGAACTGGCACAATACAAACAGAATAAAATTGAATTGTATGCTCACCAAATTTCATATCTTGTTGCTGCAATCCCAACCACAAAGAGGAAGTGATCCTATAAAGAGGAAGTGTGACACCCAGAGTGCACGCATACACATATTCACTCCCTCACATGCAGAGGTTAGTGGGAGTGCTCACAAGTCTAGATGCCAGTGCAGAGAGACAGTCATATTCAAACTGGGTTCAGGGACAGTTTCCTGCAGCTCTGCTCTCAGATCCACCATGAAGCTGTATGCGATCGCCTTCCAGTGTGCTCTGTTCACACTGGTTGAACAGGTAGGCAATACTGTGATTGTTTTAAAAATCTACTTTTATCTTCTAAATGTTACTGTAAAGTGTCTGACCAGGTCAAATGTAGATATATTTACACGCGGTAATTAGAATTTATGTTTTACCTGCCATATCTAATTTATGATTTCAGGCAACTCGGCATGATAGCTGTGTGTGTGAGTTGACAAATTCAGAGCAGAGATTCCCTCATGACAAACTCAGCACAGTGGAAGACAATGCATCAGAATGCAATAGCAACATCACCTCACAGAAGGTAACTAATGATGGTCATTTCTAAACCAAATCTGCCTACTCAGCCTACTCCAAATAAATATACATTGTAAATAAACACTTGAATGTATGCATTCTTGGCAAAGGAGTCCTGAGTGATGTACACTGATCAGAAATAACATTATGAACACTGGCTGGTGAAGTGAATAAGACTGACTACCTTTTACAGTGGTACCTGTCATTGTGTGGGGTATATTAGGCAGCAGGTGAGCAGGGGCTGTAGTGGTGATATCACACCTAGAGTGGTGAGGCTGTTGAATTTGTCTAAAAGATTCTCTCTAACTCATCCTAATGACCACAGTTTTCTCTCCTTTTACATAAGTTTTTTCACTGAATGGTAGACACATCTGTGCTCTTCCTGACAGTAGAACTGTGGAAGCAAATGGATTCACAGAAGATGCACAGTGAGCTGCAGAGTGACACGAGTGCCAACCAACTGCCATGTTGACTCTTATGTAAACAGTATTAAGCAGGTGGTCATAATGTTATGGCTGATCTGTGTATAATCCATGAGTCTCCCCACAGACCATGGAGCTGGAGAGTCTGCTGCTGGGTTTGGAGCGACGCCTGCCCCAGCTGCAGGAAGATGTGGCAATACTCGAGAGGGAGAATGATGGAGAACTTTATGGAGCTCTCAGCCTGCAGGTGATAGAGAATGAAATGAGGGATATCATGCAGCTCATCGAGAAGCTCAACAGCACCACCCTGGGACACCAGCGACTCATAAGTGACACCACCCAAAAGGTCAATTCACAAACGGGTGCTGCTCAACACTGGTATTATCTAAGAAGGGAGTGTCTGTGTGCAAACTTAAAAATGATTTTTTTATCATCATTTATTTATAACACATTAAAAGTAGCAGTAAGACCTTTACTACATCATCCCATAGAATGTCCAAAATATGCACCGCTGCTTTCTTAAGAGTTGTGACTTTTAATCTATACAGTTTCACTGTTCTAGAAACAAGTGTTGCAATATCTGTTTGGTATTGTCATTATTTTGTGTTAACAGTTGATATAATGACTGTGTATTGTGAAAGCATTTGCTTGTAGTGATGCTCACCCAACTCTGCAATTCCCTTCAACTTTACCCCATCTTTATTTATTTATCTTTTTCAGCTCATAGTTTTGATTTTACACCCCACAACTACACCTTGGGTTTTGATACACTCCCACAGCTACCATCAGTACAGTTTCCAGCAGCATACAGCTGTAGTCTTTAAAATAAAATAAAATAGGCTTAGTGTTCACTACCTGTTCAATGCCCAATGACAAATAGAAAAGATCCGTGATTAGCCTAGCTTAATACTGGACTTGCAAGAAACAATGTTTCCAATGTTGTCTTATGCGCAGGTTTGGGAGGGTTACTTTAAAATTTTATTTGGATACAGTTATAAATTACCTGTTAAAATGTATTCAGTAACATAATCTAAGTATCACAATATTACAGCAACTTGATGACTTTGTTACTTTTCGATTACCTCAATATGTAAAAAATATGCAGCAAATATGTAAATAAAAACATGATAAAAGCAATAAGAGTAAAATAGATTTTACTTAAGTGTATTCTGTAAGACAACAGAACAATGTAACCTTAAGACTAGAATTACCACTTCTGAGTTGTATGCCTCCGCCATCTAGTCAAATTCACAGTAATGGACAGACCTGAGGTCACTGACTTTGACCTTTGTCCACCAGAATCTCAGTTCACCCTTGAGTCCATGTAGATTTTTGTGCTAAATTTGAAGAAATTCCCTCAAGGTCTTCTTGAGATATCATGTTCACAAGCATCGGCGTGGATGTACATACGGACAAATGGACAACTCCACTCATCGTTCTAAGGGATTTTATCAGAGCAAATCTCACCCATGAACTGCCCAAATATAGACAGCACTTCAGTTGTTCCACCAGGGGAAAACAAACACTTGTAGCCTTGCTACACAAGGCTGCTAACACTCTCATGTGCCTCTGCATTTTGAACAGGTGATCATGTAAAAGAGTTTTCAAATTTCTGCAGGCCTCAGTTGAAAAATTACTTCACATACAGCATGTATATTGTGATGTCTGCTGTGCTGTTGTCTCTCAGGTCGAGGACCTCAAAGCCGAGATGGAACAGCTGGAAAAGTATGACACCATGCAGGTGGTGAAGAGACAAGAAGCTAGCAAGCTTCTGCAAAGGGAACTGGGCCAGTGCTTGAAAGGACTTTACCCCACCAGCCAACCGACTCAGCCTCCACATGGTAAGTCCTAAAATCATTCTTCACATGGTGTAGTGGTGAGATTTATTTTTATTTGTCTTTTACTTTCCAGAGAAATTAAGAAAAAATCTATTCATGCAGCAATTGTTTTTCTGGGTACATTGTGTAAACCAACAGAAAACTGATTTAGTCTAATTTGTACTCAAAATGACTTGCTTAATATTTTACTTGATGTGAACAGACCATAATCTCCATCAAAATGACACCCATCATCAGAGGCCATTTTATTTTTGGCTCCATTACTTTTTTCTTTATATATGTCACCACTTGCTTCAATCATATCAAGTCACAATCTTCATTTTCATTTTTATGTGGATGATATCCAGATTTATATGCCATTGGTACTATCCGACTCAAATGCACTTACTCCATTGCATAACTGTATTCGGGATGTTAAGAAATCGCTCGCCCAAAATTTTCTTCACTTAAATGAGAATAAGACTGAATATATTGTTATCAGCCCTGATCCAGTGACACTGTTATACAGCTTAGGTGCCTCTGCCCCCTCACCTATAAATATGGTGAGAAACCTTGGAGTAATATTTGATAACAGCTTTACTTTTGATAAGCAGATTAGGGCTGTGGTCAAGACCAGTTTTTTCCACTTTTAATGAAGGTGAAGCCTTTTTTATCACGTGGAGACTTAGAAAAAGCAGTCCACGCTTTTATTACCTCATGATTAGACTATTGCAATGCCTTGTACGTTGGTGTTTCTCAGTCTGTGCTGCAGAAACTTCAACTGGTTCAAAACGCTCGGCTGTTGTTAAACACTCCCAGGTATGCCTGCATTACCCCGTTCTTTTTTCACTGCATTGGTTGCCAGTACAATGGAGAGTTGATTTTAAGATGCTGCAATTTGTCTTTAAAGCTATACATGGCCTCACCCCACCATATCTGTCAGAGCTGCTATCTATCTATGCTCCACGCCGAACCCTGCGCTCCGTTGAGCACTTGTCCTTAGGCCCGACCTAAAAAATGGGGCAACCGCTCATTTGCTGTCTATGGTCCCAGACTCTGGAATTCATTACCGCCTGGGATTCAGTCTATAAGTCTACTTTAAAAACTCATCTTTCTAAACAGGCTTTTGGTGTTTAATCCGTTTTATCTGCCCCAAAGGGACATGGTTTAACTTGTTGTTCTATACTATTTTATTTTGATGAAACTTTTTATTGCTAGGATTTTATAAACCTGTGTTTTTGGATTGATTGTTTTTAGTATTTTTTAGTTGATACATATGTTCTACTGTGCAGCGCTTTATGCTCTTTGGAGTTGTAAAGTGCTATATAAATAAAGTTTATTACTATTATTATTATTATTCCTTTTTAAGAGATGTTAGATGCTAGATGCTTTGAATAGCTGGCGGCCAACACCCTCTTGAGAGTAGCACATGCACTTCTGGAAGCACAGAAGGTCAGTGCCTTGGTGGCTGTTACACAACCACTTTCTTTAACTCACACTATATCCCTTTCTAATGTGTTTTACTTCACATTACATATTATACATAATCTGTTACTATATTCTATTTGTTTGTTTCTAACCACTACACACACTTTTAAAACTCTTACTTGCCAGTCACATCCCATTTGTGAGGCCCCTGTGGCACTTGATATGTTCCCTCCTCCATGAAGCAGAAGCATTAGTAGTAAGGCAGAGTGATTGAGTTGTCTGGCTCGGGGTTACATTCACCCTCCTGGTGGACTTATAATTAGACTTTTTCTCTTGCAGCCCAACACCTCTTTAAAACGTAAGGGTCAAGAATAATGTCCAATTCTGGCCAAAGGGCAGAACAACACAAAAATTTTGAGGGAGGTTATAATGTGTGAAATGTGAAGCAGTCCAGATGGACTGCTTCACATTTCACACATGAGCTGGACAATATCACTGCACTGAGCTGGACAATATCACTGCACTATGTTCTGTTATTGTCCTGAAATGCATCATCCTCTGAATAGGCTCTTCTTTTCTTTTCAGGTAGAGTGAACAAATGTCTCACAAAGGTACAAAAAACAACTGAGATCTTTGTGGGATTGTGACAGAAATGAAATAGGGTCAGGTGTTTGTGTTAACACATGCACAAAT